TAATAATGTATTTTGTTTACTTTTTTATATTTTTAAATTTTTAGTTTTAGGTTATCACAGGGTATCCACGGATGCCACAAGTCTTTTGTTCTTTTTTGTGATATCCTGCTCTCTTGAGTAAATAAAAATCTTAAATCTTAAATTAATTAAATATTTGTTTCTCTCATTATTCACTCAAATAAAACAAAATTCTTCCGAAAAAATTTTGTTGTACGTAAATTAGCTTTTAACTAAAATTTTGTTGTTTTGTCTAAAATAATTTTCTACCGTTGTAAATAAAACGTTGAATAAAGATCGAAATTGACTTTAAAACTATGTTTATTTCATATGATATGACTGGAATAAATTTCTATATCTAATTGAAAGAAAATCTAAAGAAGAAAGATTTTCATTTAAATCGAAAACACCATTCAAATGGAATTTGTTTTCTATTGAATTGAATTTGTCATTTAATACTAAGACTTGCCACCTAAATTTGCTTGTTTATCATTAAGTGAAGCAATAACAATCAATTGAATTCGTTTAATACTTTCTCTTAATTCAGTATCATTAAGTGCTTCAACAATCGGATATGAATTTGTTTTATGTTGAATCGTTAAAGATTCTTCTTCATCTTGAGTTTCTCCTCTTTTACTTTTTCCAGAAGCTAAACAATGTCAAAAAAAGAAACATTTGTCTTCAAATGTATTCAAGCATTTATTTTCTTATTTGTTAATCTTCATATTCCACCTTGAGATGATTATAAAATTGTTGAAATGTTATGGATTAATATTGAAAATGTTAAATGTAATTGTTGACTTATTTCAATAAACTATTCGGGCTATAAATATCCATCTTCAGCTATTAATAATAATTTTGGTAATATATAAAAATCATTTGAAATGAAAAATCTCGTAATTGGATCAAATTGACAAAGAAATAAACTTTGAAGTTTTGTTATATATCGACCAAGTCTATAAATAATAAAATAAAAACAATAAACTTTTTGATACAAAAACAAAAACTTTACTCAGATTTTTCATCATTCTGTTTAAAACATCGATATGTTTTATATGATGTTTCATTTTCTAGATGATGATATACAATAAATTCAAGTAATTTAATTATTGTCGAACACGAAAATATTCGAATGTATTAATAATGGAATAATATATTAAAAGATTTTATTGATATATTTAATCTAATTAAAAGACAAATTTTATTTCAAAAAACAAAAACAGGAAATTTCAATTAACCTGTTCGATTTAATCGGATAAAAGACTTATTATATGTGACGCTATTGAAATCCAAGCACATACAATTCCTGTTTACGTGAATGTCACGTAAATGGTGATAAAAATCATTTAAATATGTCGTTCGATCTTCAGATATTAAAGACGAACAATAATCCATTCAGCAGGTAAATGAAGTAATGGTTCGTTTTCTCGAATTAATGTTTCTACTATATAATAATAGATTATCTTTAAAAGACTTTAAAAATTATAATCTTTATCAATTAAAAACAAACAAAAGTCTTTTTTTTTTAAACTGCTTTGTCTATCGAATCTTTGATAACAGATGTTAAACAAAGAAGACATCGAAGTTAACGAAGTATAATACGATGTTCAAGTGAATTTCTACAAAAACATGATTGACGTTCTTTTAATACTAAACAACGATGTTTTTCAATAATTTGTATGACAATCAGAGATGAGCACAGGACGACTTTTTCTGTCCTGTCTTGCTGGCCTGCCATCACTTGTCCTGCTGAGCGGCAGGCAGGACGAAAAATGACTTTCCATCCTGTCCACAGGACAGGACATGAAACAGGACAAACACAATTAACCATTTTGTTTTTGAATAACACACGTCTTAGAAAAAAACTGTATATGAAACAAGTCGCGAAAGTTAGGTATTTCATCATCATTATTATATTCATACAGTAGGTAATATCAACAACAGAAAAAGTAGTAAAACAATGAGTGGGCGTGTTAAATGTTCATAAACAAGTTCATATCGATAGTGTAGAACATATTATCGATCAACTAGATGAATTCGATCATTTCTCAAATGACATTGCTAATGTTATGTGAAGCCCTCTCTCTACGAACAATATCGATCTTTTTTTTCCCCTTTTTCAGTTAGAACATTACTTTCTACAGTTATGAAATTGAAGAATGAAAAGCTTTCAGAAGTAGAAGAAGAAAATGCAACATCTCACAATTTCAAAAAAGACTATCTCAAGAGAAAAAATGTTTCCAATGTAAACTGAGATACAAAATTATGCTAATTGAGTGAAAATGATAAAGAAGAGAAGAAATTTCTTTGAAATAGTAGAGATATTTGTTCATATGTTAAGGTTTTGCTGGTGAAATCGATCGATTCGCATTGACTCAATTAGAAAATAGATGCTCCAAATAAACTGAGCATGAACTGGTAACCATCTGATTCTAGTTTATGGTCAAGCAGCAAGTGATGCATCAAATAAAGTTCAGAACGATCAATTGGCTCAATTAGAAAAATAGCTATGAGAACAGTTTTCATCTTGATTATTGAAAGAAATCTATTTTGAAAAAGAGCCGATAGAGTTAGTGTCAATACATTGCCAATTCATTTACTTTTTTCTTTATCACGTTTGGTCTTCTCTCATTTGAATATCTAGAGATTTTCTTGTTCATCTGCGGACGTATCATCTCAACTGAATATCATTAATACATCGAATTAAATCAATGGACTTTCATTAATTCTCTCGTCTTCTCTGAAAACAATTTAATAAAAGTTGAAATTTGAAATATTTTTCTTGAGTATACATTGCTGTTCTGCTTCGACTTTCTTTTTGTTCTTTTAGAAATGCGTTCAATTTATATTTGTTGATCGTTTCGAATAGGGATGGCAAGACATTGTTTACGAAAATCAAACACATATTTACCGTTCGTTGTTTATCTATTTTTTATTTAATGATCTTATTTAAAGATTTGCTCAATTTATTTTCTCTGATTAATTTGGTCGTTGAATCGTTGGAATAGATTGTTGATCGCGTGATACTGATCATTCGAAAGCATGTGTATCAGTTTTTTGCAAATTATTTCTCAACAATTAGGTTCGATCGTTGTATTCTCAATGGAGTAAAGATAGATCTCTTCCAATCAATCGATTCATTGAAAATTGTTTCACTACGAACATTTCTCTGAGAGAAATCTTTTTCTTTCCAAAACTGATTCGAGAAATTATCGAAGAAAATCATCAATTTCATTATTCAAAATGGTCTCATCTTCGAATGAATAATAAAGACTCTTGAAAAAAAAAACTCATTTTTTATATCTGATGGTTTGTACTTCAATTCCTTTGAGCAAATATTCGAACAAGCTTATTTTCATGATGAATAAATATTGATCAGAAGGACAAATCAATTGACTTAATACGATTAATAAAGTTCTTTATTCAATGAGTTTTTCATTATATAAAGAATATTATTGAATATGTTTAATCGATAACAAAACGTTCGAAATCATTGAAATAATTGATCGATTTCCTTTTCGATATGAATTTCTCATCTATTCATATAGATACTGTTTTTTCTGTCGACGTTGGTTTAGATAAACAAGCAAGAGGTGCATAAGAGTTTTGAAGAAAATCTCTTCAGTATGATGGAGGATAACTTCCAATGGCTATTATTCATAGAGACATTGACCCATTAGACAATGCTCTTCAACTGTTCCATCTATTCTTTTTTTCTCTTCTCCCAATGAAAAAAAAAATTTATTTCTAGGAAACAAGAAGAGAAGATAAATAAATCGATTTCGGTGATAGTGGAGACAGTGATGATGTCGACATTTCGAATATAGTTGAAGTTCTCGAGAATGATAATGATGAAGAACAACGATTATCAGACAGAACATTCGAAGTAAATAGAAATGATTTGTTATCGTTGAAATAATTGAATAAATGTGAAAAAGATTTCATCAAATTGGGAAAATCCTTCGAATGATCATCATTTGAAAAAAATCATTAAAACAATTTCTTCCAAACAATGGTTTTCAAAGACTTTTACTTTGAAAAGAATTTTTGTCCATTTGAAGTCTAATCTTTATTTAATTTCTCTTTAGAAAAAACGTCGGCAAAAAAAAAAGCAAATGAGAACCTCTCTACAATATGATCTTACTTATGCCCTAGTTCTGCTTATACAAATTTGGGTTGCTTTTTTCAAGTGACTGTTTAAAGACAACATAAACTAATAATATATTTATACCAAAATTAAGATTTATTTTAAACATTATTTACATTAACTTTTGCTAAAAGGGACTCGTCTGGCTTTCATTTTAGCGAAATCCTGCCCCAGCGCAGCAATGTTAATAGATTGAGCAATATTATTTTCTATTGAAATTATTGCCAAACCATTCAATTTTTCTTGACTCATGCTTGATCGCAGGTAGTTCTTGATTAATTTTAATTTGGAAAAAGTTCTCTCTCCCTTAGCAACTGAAACAGGAAAAGTCAATAGTACTCTCAATGCAATCAGTGCATTTGGGAAGAGTTCTTCAAGGTTGTTGTTATAAATCCACTTCAAAACCGTCTCTGGTGTACTATCTTCTTCAATTTTTCGAGACAACAATTTCAGCTCTATGTCAAGTTCTTCTGCTTCAATGTCCTTGTTTTCTTTGTCACTTAATGTTTTTTCTAATGATCTACATTTTTCTTTCAGTTGTTTGTCCTCCATTTCATCACATTCTTTAATGTTGTACAAAAATTCAAAGGGTTCCAGAATGCTACTAAATGACTCAAAACGCTCTTTCATTGAAGCAATTGCTGTTGTGAACAAAACGTCGAAAAATTTGGTTTTGAATTTCTTTTTTGCATCGGCGGGCTCAGCCTCAGGGGCATCTGGCTCCTCGTCAAAAAATTTCTTTCTCTTTCGGATCCGATTCTCTGGCTCAGGACTAAAATCGTCTGTTAAATCCGCATCTATTGCGAGGACTTTTGCTTGTGAAATATATTTCTCGAAGGAATCTTCACAGTTACGAGAAACGAGAAATTCAGTTGTCCTTTTCAACGCAGTTGCTGCTGATTTCACATCCATGCTCTGTGATTGTAACAATTTGCTCGTACAATTGATTTCTGTTAATACTTCGTGCCAGATAATTAGTCCACAAATGAATTCAAAGTTGTCTAATGTCTTGGATGCGATTGATTCCGCTGTTATACGTGTAAGTGAATCTTTTTGCAATTGAACGACTTCTTTTAACGCAGAATAAATGCCTTTCAATCCGGTCTTCAAAGCACTAACGGCCTTAACACGGCTTTCCCATCTAGTATCGCTTAACGATTTCACCGTCAATTTACAACACATGGACTGGAAAATGTGCCAACGCTTTGTCGATCCCGAGAAAAAATTGTAAATTGTTTGTATGGTCGAAAAAAATTTAACAATTTCAATAGCTCCTTTTACTGCATCAACAACGACTAAATTTAAGGAATGGCACATGGAACGAAAAAGGCTCTTGGATTGATATTTGCAATGTGAGACTGCACACCGTTTCTTTTACCTCGCATATTGGTTCCATTGTCATAGCCTTGACCACGAAGATTCATAATAGATAAGTCATTTTGTTTCAAAGAATTTAAAATTTCTTCGGTCATCTTTGCTCCAGTTGTGTCTACAATGTTAATAAATTCCACAAAACTTTCTTTAATTTCCACACTAGCATTGTTACCTTCAGCTGCTCTTTCGATGTGGACGTAACGCGCAACAATGGACATCTGTTCTTTATGACTTACATCAGGTGTACAGTCCACAATAACTGAGAAATACATTGCATTTTTGACCATGTCCAAAATCTTATCCTTTGTAGCTTTGGCGACCAATGAAATAATTTCCTGCTGGATATCTTTTCCCAAATAATGAGTCTTGTGTGGATTTTCTACTGCCCGTTTTACATGCTTCTCTAACACCGGATCAAATTTTGAGAACAACTCGACAAGTTTCAAAAATTTACCATTATTTTAGGTGAATAGTTTGTCTGAAGACCCTCTAAATGCCATATTTTCTGAGGCCATCGTTAAAATAATTGAAATTATTCTCTTGAGCACTTCATCCCAATGTTGTACTTCACTCAAGTACAATTTGCTCGGCAGAGAATCAACGGTTTGACCACTAGAAAGCCGCTTTTTTAGCTCAATCCACTTCCCATAGCAATCAAAAAGCTCAGTGCTTCGTTCATGTCTCTTTAAAATCAACGCCATGTGTCCCCAATCATTTGTGCCTGCCTTTGCTAAAGCAAATTCGTCATTACTAAATATTTTGCAACAAAAACAGAACATTCGATCTAATTTGGATGAATACACAAGCCACGTTCTATCCACTAATTCACCATTTGCTGTTTTTCGTTGGAAATACATTTTGTTAAATGATCGCCCTACACCGTCTTTTGGGTAATGATTAATGTTGGCTCATACTGATCCTCTGAAAACTATCTTTTCAATTTGGGAATTCTGTAAATTTGTTGGCCAATCCGCTATGTCATCAAAATCATGACAGCCAGTCGTCTCCACAGCACTCGTTTCTACATCGCTATTTAAAGATTCACCTTCAGATACTTCTCCGATTGAGATCCCATCATCCTGTTTAGTTGCACTTGTACCGCAGATTGTATCCGTTACAATTTCATCATCGTGCCCAGGCTCACTTGTGTCCATTGGTTCAGCAGGCAAAGCAGAATTGTCTTTGTTTTGCCCATCTTGCAGAAAACTATGCAGCGTTCTTTGATTATTAAATTGCTCTGCCAACCCAGCCTCTTTTCTCGATTTTGTTTGTTCTGCCAACCAGACAATTTCCGCTTCTGATCCATATTACTGCAAATTTTTTTAATTCAGTTATACACATTTTTCCTAAAGCTTAAATGAAATCACCTACCTTTATTTCTTTTATTAGAAACTTTAATTACCAATAGTCCAATATAATTTCTTGGAAAAGTTTAGAAAAATAGCCAACTTGTTTTTCTCACGAAGACTCAATGAAAATAGTTAGATAAAAGAAGTTCATAACAATGTATAAAGTATAAATCATATTTGTAGCATCATAGCATGCCATTCATTTTTAATTTAAAAACTTATCTCATATTTTTCTAGGTCTTTTAGGCACTTTTTCTCTTGCAGCGCCTGTGTGCATCGCGCACTTTGCACACGCCACCAGCCGGGTCTGTACTTAGTCAAAGGTCCAAAGGTCGATTGGTAATATATAAGTGTGAATGCTTATTATGACATAGTTTTCGGAAAACATATTTATGATTGGTATCTATAAAAAAAAACTATAACGCGTGCACCTCCGTAAGGCGGGCAATTTGAAAAAGTCCCGTAGGTGCCCACCTAAGGGAGGTTTTACTGTAAATAGATTGACTGATCGATTAAAGATAATTCAAGAAGAGAATGGGTTTAATGAAACAGATTTCACACAGTTTAAAGAAGAATTCAGTCGACTGATAACTGAACTCATCACACCATCAAATACCTCGATTCAAGAAGATTCTCTTCAACTTATCAATAAGGTTTAAAACCCTAATCAACTTAACTGTCCCATGAGTTTGTCATTTGATCAACAAGGGAATCTCTATGTCGTTGACCAACGCAATAATCGGGTACAAAAATTCAATATTGATCTAAGTTTTCTTAATAATCGAAGATAAATCTTGATGAAGTGTAATATTTATCTTGAACTTCATTTTTTCAAGCAAGAATATGAATTGAACAATAAAATCATTGTTTTTGTTAGCTGTATATTTATCTTTATTATGAATTTTTCTGATATTAATCAGTGAATATATTGACCGAACAAACTGGTCAATAATGAATGACAAACGAGAAATTCCAGGCAGAAAAGAAAATAGTCTAATGTGATGACATTGACAATTATTCTCTATTGTTCGCACAGACTATAAGGAGAAAAAATTAAGACATCTCGCTCTATTGCGCTAAAGAGACAGTCACTAGGTTAGATATGAATATCCTCGACTTGCCTGACGAAATTTTACTTTGTATTTTAAACAAACTGAATAATATTGATATACTCTATTCACTTGTGGATGTAAATCAACGATTTAATAGATTAGTACTTGATTCTATTTACATTCATGATCTGGATTTTACAACTAATGATAAATCTCAAGAATGTCAAAAATTTCTCGATCGATTTTGTACAAGTATCTTACCCCGAATTCATCATCAAATAAACAAACTTACTCCTGGATAACTTTCAATAGAACATCTTCTACATAATGTTGATTATCCTCAACTTTATTCATTATCACTTGTTTTTTGTCAACCGGGAACAATCTTACACTATTTAACAGGTATACGATTTAGAATTTTGTTTAATTTGATGAAATAATGTCTTATATGTTTAAGGTGATACAATAGTTATTCGTCTTCTTACTAAACAAATTACCCATTTTAATCTGAAGATCAATTTCAGAACATTTGAATTATCTGATAGATATGAACCAACTTTGTTTGCATTGATATTGTCATTTGCCAAATGTTTAACCGATTTCACTTTTGTACAATGCCTTCGAGATCCTTCAATGAATTCAGTTTTTAATCTATCTTCAACAAATTGTGTATCGTCAACTTTAACTACATTGAAAATTGATGTCAATACTCTCGATGCTTGCCTTTATGTTGTTGATGGACGTTTCGATTGTTTATCGACACTAATTATTGATATAGAAAAAATTAGACCTCTATTATCGAATATAGATACTACGGTAAAATACTTCTGATTATATCAAACTAAAAATGATGCTTTTCTTTATAGAAAAAAATTTCAAAATTGAATTGAAAATTCAAAAAAAATTGAGAAATTGAAATTGAGAAATTGAAAATTTCTCATTAACTTAGGTTTCAAGAACATCTTATTATCATGAGCTCGTTCCATTATTCCATCGAATGCCAAATCTCGAAGAACTTATATTATTTCTTTTCGTGAAAAGAATTAATTCGACTTATATCGATGGTATTGATTTGAATGATGAAATTCTCATCCATATGCCACAATTAAACAAATTTACTTCCAGTATACCTACTCTTGTTTGTAACAGAAACAGCAATATTATTCTTTTTTCAGACGATGATATTCAACGTAGTTTTATCGAAAGAAGATTTCAACAAATTGGTTCATATGCTGATGATAATACAATGAAAATTAGAGCTCGATGTCATATTTACTCACTCCCAGGTCAATATAGACGGTTCGTAAACCGGCGTAAACGGATAAAAAACGGGGTCTTTTCGGTGGTACAGCAATTTGTGTAGACCGATATCACTTATCAGTATAGATACAGATCAATTTTTGGGTTGAATTGAGGATAAAAAGTTTGTGTTTTTTGATAAGGGTTGCAACCATTTTTCCAAGAAAAATAAGGGGTGATATAAAAGGCAGAAAATTAATTTCAATTTCTAATTGATAGGTGATATTTTCTTTAAAATTTAGTTATTATAATTATTAATCGTTACTTAATAGATTTAATCAAGATTTATTACAGAGAGAGAAAAAGCCAGCACGTACTACTGGTTTCAGCCCGATTCTCAAACTCATACTCGCATCTGCTGGTAAAAGACAACGAAACGTTTTGTTTATTTGCAAATTAAAGACATCTCGATATCTAAGCTGATCGAGTCGCGATACATTCAACATAGATTAACGACAAAAAAAGGCGAAAGAGGACAATAAACTACAAACTAAGGTTGAGACGCTGTTCACAAATCTAAAAATGCCTCGGGATAGCAGAAAAAAATTTGTAATTTGGGTTTTATAGTCCGAGAGCACCGTCGGAAGAAATTAAAGGAATGACGGTAGGAAAGCAAAAATTCCGTGGAAAGAGAAAAAATATGCCGATATTAATAGGTATTAATAGGTTTTTCTGTTGATTAGTGGTACCAGAATCTAAAATTGTTTTGTACTTGTGCCATGTTCGAATTAGTGCCACCGAGTCAGTCAAGTCAGGCAGCACTAGTAAATATTTTATCCAGTAAGAAAAAACTCG